TCATTAAGTCTTGGCGGTCTTTGTGTTTGTCTCAAGGCAAGCAGGGTTGTTATTGGTAACTAAAACTATTAAAAGTCATTATCTGAATTGTTAATTGAAATAAAGCTGAAATTAAATCTAAATATTAGATGGAAAAACCTAAAAAAAAAAGTGTTTTAAAAATTGCAACGTTGCAATAAAAACCAGCTGAATTAGAATAAGCTGAAGTACTAAACTGACAAACTATAACTGAAATAAAAATAAAGCTAAATAGAAATATTTTTTTAAAAATGGCAAAAGCACATATTATGACAAACTAAAATTCAAAATTGAAAAATAAAAATAAGTTAATTGAAAGTATGCATGAATTCTATAATGGTATATAAATAATACTAAATGGCACTGAAGGCAAGAAATCCAAATCACAAAGGTCTTGATGTGTATTTAGATATTTTAGAGAATTGTTGGATGGAGTTGAAGCTAATGCATAGATATCAGAGATAAGCAGTGGAGTGTGACTTTTTTTTAACACAATTATTGTCTGTTTGGTTTTTCAGAATGGGATTGTGCCCATTGTTGAGCCAGAGATTCTACCTGATGGTGACCACGACTTGAAGCGCTGCCAGTATGTTTCAGAGAAGGTACATAAAAAGTGACATCAATTTATAGCATTCAAACCAGACTTGATTTAATGAGTTGATACATATTATATGGTTACATTTACTTAACTTTACTTTATTTCCCATGTATCTCCAGGTCCTTGCTGCCTGCTACAAGGCCCTGTCTGATCATCACGTCTATCTGGAGGGAACTCTTCTGAAACCCAACATGGTGACAGCTGGACACTCCTGCCCCACCAAATACAGCAGTGAGGAAATTGCCATGGCTACAGTGACAGCCTTGCGCCGTACCGTTCCCCCCGCAGTAACAGGTGAGTCACGAGTCTAATGGAGAAACCTCAGCTGTGTTTGATTTAAGAATGGGGTTGCTGTTTTTTTTAAGCATACAAAGATTGCCATGACGTAGATAACAAGAGGAAATCGCATGTTTAAAAAAAAAAAGTGTGAACAGTATATGGTGAGATCACGGTCCTATTTCAAAAAATGTGCATAATCCATTTTGAAATTGCTCTGGCAGGTGTGACTTTCCTCTCCGGAGGTCAGAGTGAGGAGGACGCGTCCATCAACCTGAGCGCCATCAACAACTGCCCTCTGACAAAACCCTGGGCCCTCACCTTCTCCTATGGACGTGCCCTGCAGGCCTCTGCCCTCAACGCCTGGCGCGGAGATAAGGAAAATGAGAAGGCTGCCACAGAGCAGTTCATCAAGCGTGCTGAGGTCAGTTGATCAAATCCTTTTCCCATCAAGGTGCAGTCACATTAGCTAAAGGTCTATTGTCAGTAGTGTAGCAATGTATAATGCATAGCTCACACAGAAGTCACTTCCAAACCAAGCAGCTTTCTGTTGGCCAACACGGATAATCTGTGTGACTACCTTGAATCAGTTGCAAAATTTGTCTCTTGCACAAAATTTTATACAGATAATAATGCTAATGTCTATAAAATATACATCTGATTTTTTTTCTGAAATCATGAACCGCTAAACGTCATATAAATTCATAAGTCAAATAGGAACCTTTAAATATCTTTAAATTCTATTTTTTTTTAGTAAATACTGATATATACAATTATTCGAATTAATTCGAATAATTATTTAGCATATAATATTAGTGATGTACTGAAATTTCAGCAACCAAAAACATTCAGCCATAACAGCAAACAAATAATAAAAATTCTGTTTTAACCAAAATAGTGTTAGAAAGCTGAAACCATTGATTGAAGCTGTTTTTTTTAAATTAGAGCTTCTCCAATGATGCATCTATTTTATGCACACTACAGCAGGTAAACATGTCAGCAGTGTCAATGCACTTCATTGTGACCGAAATGGATGCTAAAGTAGCAAGATGTAAATTTGTTCAGCTGAAATACTGGTTTCATTTATCATGTGAGAACAGCATACAGAGTTCATTTACACAATTACAGAAATTTAGTTGCGCAAAATGAAAACTTAAATTTCAGTTTTGCTGTTTTGATTTGATGCATCACTAAACCATATATATGCATAGCTATGTTAAAGAACTGAAAATGTTATGTATAATTTAATATAGAATAGGGTGACCATACGTGCCATTTTCCCAGGACGCGTCCTGGGAAAATGGCACGTATGGTCACCCCAATATAGAAGGTATATAGAATCATGTAAATTAGTGTTGGGTTCGAGTCCACTTAAGTCGAGTCCGAGTCCAAAATGGGCTGAGTCGGACTCAAGTCCGAGTCCAACTACATACTACTGTTTGTCAGTATCTTAAAGGGATAGTTCACCCAAAAATGAAAATTTGATGTTTATCTGCTTACCCCCAGGGCATCCAAGATGTAGGTGACTTTGTTTCTTCAGTAGAACACAAATTAAGATTTTTAACTCAAACCTTTGCAGTCTGTCAGTCTTAATGACTGCTGTCGAGGACGCGCTCAGGACAGTTCAGACATTGCAGTGCATCAGAGGTAAAAAAACGATATAAATACTGTTCAGTTTCTTGCACAGACCTTTACACATCAATGTATCATCACGAGCCGAAGGGTTTAATTTGCTTTTGTTTGTGTATGTTTTTTTAACTCTCAAAGCCATGATTCCAATTCACTTCCATTATAAGACTGACAGACTGCAACGGTTTGTGTTAAAAATCTTCGTTTGTGTTCTACTGAAGAAACAAAGTCACCTACATCTTGGATGCCCTGGGGGTAAGCAGATAAACATCAAATATTCTTTTTTTGGGTGAACTATCCCTTTAAACTTGTTTTAACCTTTACAAGTAGAAAAGGGCAACATCAATTTAAATGGGGGATGTGGTAACTGGGGTAGCTTGGTGAATGGGACCAGAAGAGCAGAAAATGCACCTCTTATCTCTGTGGCTGTGTGGGTTTTATATGATGAATGGTTAGACCTTAGACAGGGTAGATGGCATTAATAAACCTAGTCTTTATAATGGCACACACTGTGTATAAAAGACCTATATGTATATTCCATAACTCTCAGCCAACTCGCAACTGTTTTATTTTTGAATGCATTTATAGTTAATAAATTACATTATGTAAGGAATAATTGACGACGGGTCATTGCATTATTAGAAAATAATGCTCACCCAAGGTGGTTTTCGACCCATAAAAACTACTGCCACAAAGATGTTAGAAACATTATTTTTCTTTGAAGCTAGAAGCTGCCAGCATGTAAAAAAAAAAAAAAAGCAATAATTTCAATACAACAGCAAAAACTAATACTTAACTAATGTAAATACTGGCAAGACTTAAAAACACATGCAAATACTGAATGTCACTTTCGTGACAATGCATCGAGTCAGAGACATTTCCATCGACTGTCCCTGGAATCGGAAATGTTTTTTGAGTCCCAAAATGCATCCGAGTCCATGACCAGTCCAAGTCCGCTATAAGTTGTACTCGAGACTGGACTCGAATCAGAGTACGAGTCTGAGTACCCCAACTCTAATGTAAATATGATATATAATTTTATATGAAATAATATAACATTTAAATAATATTTAATAAAATAATATAATAATAAAAATGATATAATAATTTAAAAAATAATATAAAATTATTAACAATAGAGCTAGAAGTTGAATCGGTTTTGAATTGTTGGGATACAGTTGTTTTGTTCTTTGTCAATGTAAACTGCTTATTCAGGCAACATAAACTGACCTTTGTGAACTTTCCTCAGGCTAATGGATTGGCTGCTCAAGGCAAGTACATCTCCTCTGGAACCGGTGAATCAGCAGGACAGTCCCTGTACGTGGCCAATCATGCCTACTGAACATCCTGCATCCCATCATTCCAGCTTCCGCCAGCCAATAGTATAGTGCACAGCTGCTACCCTTCCTGTCACCAACCAATCACAGGCCTGCGCTATCTTCTGTACTTTAGGGTTGTCATTACAATGTCTCATAATGTATCTATTTAAAATGTATTAAACTTTAGAAATGGAGAGGAGAAATAGAAAGGTACGCAGGATATAATTTTTTTGAAACATTCTAGGCGTGATTTCATTCTACAAACAAAAAAAACCCAGTATTTTTTGTGGCCCGTTAGCTGGTTTTAAATGGATGTATATGTCAGGCGTTCAGTTTTTATTATTCCAACATAAGTCATTCCAATTCAGGCACCAGCCACTAGAGTTGACGATCCTCACGATGATGTGTGGAAGATGTGAATACTGACTTCAGATCAATGTATGCCAGCAGGGGCAGTTTATCATAATTGGGAATGAAATGGAGTAATATGTAATTGCTAGTTATGAATAACTCCACCAGACTCTGAGAAATATTATTTTGTGTTGTGTTCACAATAAATATGCATTGTTTGGGCTGTGTGATTACGGTTCAAGAAATTTAATATAAAGTACTAACGATATTAGTTTGAAAAGGACCATTATTTTGAAATTGTGCTCTGTTGTGTTGTGTGCTTGAGTGTATCATGCTCTCCCTCTCCTACATGAATAATGTTCTATTGGTTGTAAACGGTGGAGCAGACCAAACTGTGGAGCCCCTGGGGAGGGGAGCACTCACTGCTCTGTTGACAAAATGTGATATTGTGATTTGATGTTCTCTAAGCACTTTGTGTGTCAGATAGTAAAAACTAAAATAAAGTACTGTAAAACCCCAGATTTTGTTTGTCATCATTATGCAGGTTTATTATTTCATACACACATTTTGAGCCATATCTTAGTTTCACATTTACACATTCATTCCATTTGAGCTTAACTCAACAGGCCCCCAACATAATTTAATGGGTCTGTTAACTGTTTCTAAAATTAATGGAGGCACATTTCACAAATATGGTACACCCTGGAGTTCCATAATGGTTTTAAAGGGGTCATATGATGTTGCTAAAAAGAACATTATTTTGTGTATTTGGTGTAATGTATATAATATGTAATTCTCATTCTTGATATAATATTTTGGAAATACGGTCTAGCCAAAATTCTCCTCTGCTATTTGTCACTTGTGGTTGTTCTTTTCAGATTCTGTATTATGCCGTTCTGGGTGTGAACCCTCGTTTTGACAACAGTGTGTCAGCCTATACACTCAGTGCAGACAGCCTGTCACATGTTATCAACCCTGTTGAGGCCAGACTAGGTAAGATTTGACCTATAACTGATGTGATCTGCTTTTAATGAACAGTATAAGCCCATGATGTAGATTTACACATACTGGTATTCTCTTTCACGCAGGTTCCAATGCAGCTTCATCTAACCCTGTCTTGAACTTCCTGCTGTATGTGCCAGATGCCCATCACTCTCCTCTCTACATCAGAGACCACAGCAAAAGGGAGGTGCCCTCTAACGCCTTTCACAGCCCTCGTTGGGGCGGCATTATGGTATTGTCCAGATATATTCATTTAAACAGATTGTGTTTTTTCTCAGTGGCTGTTTACATGCACCAAAAAAAATATAATCAGATTAATGGCTCAGATTGTGTTTCACCTTTATTTATTTTTTTCTTTTCACATTGCGGTTCAGGGCTTCCGTACTTATATTAAATATTGTGAATAATATGAAATAGTGTGAATGTGCTGGATGTTGCAAATAAGCCTATATTTTCTCTTTCATCTGTCATCTACATCCCCAGGTGTACAATGTGAATGAAATGTACGGACCTGAAGCTGAACGTCCTGTAGATATTAACATTAATATGGCTAAAGTGATGGGTGTGTTCTTGGCACAATTACGGTTAGTACTTAAAGATTTGACTTGAATACATTTAAGTAAAAATGCCTGTCTACCCAGATGAAAGTGTTTCATTTCACTTTCTTTATTCTGTTTCCAGGCTCATGCTGGGAGTGCAGCGTACACATCCTCCCACAGGCTTTGTGCTGCAGAGTCCAGGCAGCGCTGGACTGGCTGATTGGGAGCTGGACCGACTCCTGTGGAGCCGCAGTGTGGAGAACATCGCCACCGCCAGCACCACCATCACCTCGCTCGCTCAGCTCCTCGACCAGATTGGAAACATCGTCATCAATGACAACGTCGCACAGCAGGTGGGAGGTCCAGATGTTCATAGTTCATCACACAAAGAAATAGTTCCGCTGTAACATTTTGTCCTGAACAGTAGGAATTATAAAATGCACAATTTTGCTATTATTTCTCGCACAGGTTTCCAGTGCAGTGGCGTCGCTCCAGTCTGCTGTCGCCGAGTTGGAGGCTGGGAACTTGGCTTTTGCGCTCCATTACAGCAGGGAGGCCATTTTGGCTTCAGAGAGGGCCTTTTTTGACCCATCTCTTTTGCATCTTCTTTATTTTCCAGACGATCAGAAATTCGCCATCTACATTCCTCTTTTCTTACCCATGTGTGTACCTATTGTGCTCTCGCTACTGAAAACTGTGAGTGAAGCTAAGCAAAGGCTAGCAGATAAACAAGCCAAAAGTGACTGAGAAACCACTGCTTGTTTGATGCACACTAATGGCTGCACTTGTGTAGCATGTTCAAAAACACACTGATTCATTAAAAGATTATGTGTGTGGTGTGTACATTTAAAAAAAATGTATTAGACCAAGAGTCTGTCATCGGATGAAAACGAACTGATATGAAATCTGAATTATATGCTTTAATTTACAAAGGCAGCTGTACTGAACAATGAATGAGTGAAATGATTAATTCTGTTTGAGTGCAATGTGTAATTTCTCTCTTTGTCCACATTAAGTGCACTGCATGTCTTCTTGTTTTGACACTGTAACACTGGGTCATGATCTCATTTTCTCAGGTTTGTGAGGGTTTATTAGGCATATTGTGGTTTGTTTTTCAAGGGGTTCATTGTTGCAACAAAAATAACATACAAGATAAAAAACGTATTAAAAATAACATTAGCTTATGTTTAATGACATATTATAATAATTTCTCAGAATGTTTGGTTTGATGTGCGTTAACTTTACAAAGGGTTTGTATAGAGATCCAGGAATGATGCCACAATGTGAGGATGTGTTATTTACAGCTGTATGTTAAACACGCAACCCTAACAAACCCAGCCTAGCCCAAGACTACGTGTATATGTGTTGCTAAATGAATAGTCAACAAGACGATGTTATCTCTTTAACTTATTATATGATATCAATACCTGTTTTACACGCAAATACTAGTCTTCTAAATTAAGTGATCATATGAGGTGCGCAAATCCGTCAACTATATTAACTTATAACACTGAATGAGGGATGTTTACGTAATGTCTATATCAGCTAAACTAAAATTCTGAGAAGTATACATAACTAAGTATGCAGTATATTTTTTTTAATGATACGCTCTAAATTTGTAAATACCATTGGAATTTGTGAGTAAAAACATTCTGCGCATGCGCAAACGGCCTTGCGTGTAAACCATGAGGATTATAAGTGCATCACTTTTCTGTGCACTGATTATTTTCTGTCTACAGAGATGCAGAGGATGCTGTATATGGACGAGATGGCTATGACTATGATGGCTATCGTCTTCGAGTGGAGTTCCCAAGGAGTGGCAGGGGAGGTGGAAGAGGTGGAGGTGGAGGTGGTGGAGTTGGAGCTCCCAGAGGCAGATATGGCCCTCCATCCAGGCGTTCAGAGTACAGGGTCATAGTGTCAGGTGAGTGGACAGCCATAGTGTCTCGCATCTTTGTCATACAACATAGGGTCCTTTCACGCATAACAGTGTATGGATGTGCACAGACTCCAACATTTTTTTTTTTTTTTACACTGAAGACTGGAGTAATGATGCTGAAAATTTACCTATGTATGATCACAGGAATAAATTACATTTTAAAATCTATTCAAATAGAAAGCAATTTTAAATAGTAAAAATATTTCAACATTTTACTGTTTTTGCTGTACTTTGGATCAAATAAATGCAGCCTTGGTGAGCAGAAGAGAATTCTTAAAAAAAAAAAAAACCTTTAAAAATCTTACTGTTCAAAAACTTTTGACTGGTAGTGTAGGCTGATTATTCTTATAGATTGAAACAAATGTGCTTCAGCCAGAAAAAAGGGTATGAAAAGTGCTCCGAGTCGCTGCAGAAAACAAAAAAATTGAACAACAACAAAAACTGGAAATGTTGCTGGAGACGGGCTTATTTAAAATGAAAACTCATTCTCTGCCAGCAGGAGGCGCTTTTAGAGTGATAAAACTAGCGGTTTCTCCAGTAATGGCTGTAATCAAAGCAGCTCCGCTCAGGAGCGCTTCTTTATCAGATCAAATGAAAATGCCATCTAAACTTTTCTGAAGACAGTCGGTTCCCTTCAGAGATACATTTATATAAAACACCCGCGCCGTGTTATGAATTTGAAACGTTCAGTGCTCATGTTTATTCAACGAAGTCAAACGGCACAAATAAATCAATGTATGGGAAACTGGTAATGTATATCGAAATATCGGAAATGTGTTTAAAAATCATATCACCGTTATTGAAAAAAATTATATCGCGATACATATTGATATTGAATTATTGTCCAGCCCTACTTCAGACTACGATTCCATCAAGTTGAAGGACAACATGTTTTATATTTTAAGCAAATTTTAGTACATATTTTCATTTGTCATGTGTCTCCTAGAAATGAGGTTGCATTTTCTGAAAGACTTAAAGGGGAGGTCTAATGCCATTTCATGCATTCTTCTTACTGTTGAAGAGTTGGATTCTCATGCTAAACATGGCCAAATTTTCAAATAACGAGTGCAAGTGTGTTTATTTGTTCCCAGCATTTTGGTGACAAATGTTTCTTAAATTAAAGTCAAAGTTTTTGTTCCTGTTTATTTATGTCGATGTCACAGCTTGCAGACGATCGTTACGCAAAGCTGTGTTTGCTCGTGACTATTTAGCTCCACCCATGGCATGCTTCAAGGAGCTCGACTGTTTTCGGAGAGAAGCGTAAATCTGTATCTGTCTTTTATAAATCTGATAAAACTAAAGACTCTTCTGAGATATGAAGGATGCAATACTACTCTATAGTAGGGGTCGACCGATATGTGTTTTTCAGGGCCGATACCGATTATTACAGATCAAGTAGACCGATAACCGATATTTTGAACCGACATTATATATATATATATATCTGGTGTAAAAATGAAAATTAATGTCAACATTAAGAATAACAAGGGCTCTGACAAAAACTGCCCTCACTGGTGTTGGTTGTGTAGTACTCCCACACTGCACTTCTTACTCTTGTCTTCCTCTGTGCCTCCAACTACAATAAGGGTAATATAAAGAGAGAGTTAAAAGTGGGGCAACTGTATACTTCACGATTAAGCTTATGAATACTGTACTACAGCTAAACGGCTTGGGGAAATGTAAGTATTTGGCTTCAATAATTTACATGTTAAAAATGTATGTGTAATAGCATAACCTCTCATAATTCCTCATTAATTCTTTTCTGATGGCTAAAACATAACCTACAATAGTAGAGGTGACTATTCAATTCATCATCTAATGCACATCAATGGATTAACTTTTTTTTAAAATTTATATAATAAGTGTAAATTATTTAATTGTCTTCATAGCTATATTGTAGAAGTTGTTAAGAAGACTGCAACTATTTTCATGAAACTATAACACTAATAGCCTTTTACAGGCACACTTAGCTCAATAGCCTATTGATATGTCTTGGCCTATGTGAGAAGAAATTTCAGGTTTACTATAAAAATTAAAACATGGAAGAAATAGCGTATTGTGATTATTCTTTTAAACAAAAGTTGTAATTGTTGTAGTAGTATTATGTATATCATACTTAGGGTTGCCAACCGTCTCGTATTAGCCGGGACGTCCCGTATTTTGGGCCTAATTGATTTGTCCCG